TACTTTTCTTATGTTTTAAGAAAACAACCATACTACTCATACATTCATGCCCATTACAGTGTTTCAAACAATTAACTTGAAGTATACAATTATTTTGAAGCTTAAAGTTAACTACTTGGACACATAGCATATAAATTAAACTCTGTCTTTCTAGGGAGAAGTAATCTAGAGTTCCTCTCAAAACAAGATCACCTTCTGCATTTTAACCAGGTAACCGCAACTAAGCCATGCTCAAAAGCATAATCTTTACCCTTGGCATGTTTAATTTTTTCCTTCTCTGATTTTTTTAGTAGTCACAAACTTGTGTCAGTAGCATTCTCCCTCCTCTCAGTGGCTTCAAGAGAGATAAGATCAGATCAATGATACACCGTTAAAACACATCTCGCCATACAAAGCAATTTAAACCAGACTATTCAAAGCCTCAGTCCAATGCAGCATACATAAACCTGTGCTTGGGCACACAGATGATCCCAAAGATTTCAGAACAGGAAAGCCAACATGCTTAACTTAATCATGCAACATAGTGTCGTGTGGGGCCAGGATCTTAGGAAATCAGCACTAAACACCACTCCAGTTCTACTTAAGTGCAGCTGTAAACACAGCTGTGAATTATGTAAGAACAGCAACAGGTCTGGCTCATGGTGTTTCTGTGGCACTGAGGAAGCACAGGATTAGCACCTAGGTATATTTGAGACTTCTTCAGACTCTAAACTAAGGGCTTTCTAATCTTGATAGCTATCCCTTCTGAACACATTTTTATATCCCACACTTGTCATACTTAGTCATCTCATCCTTTTCTTCAGTGTCAAAATACACCTTATTAGCCAATGGCAGTCATTGCGTAATGTTGAGCTAACATACCATAAGCAAACTGGAGAAGGTAGACTAAACTAGGGAACACAAATGCTTCCTAACACTATTCAGAACCTGACTAGACTTGTTTTAACTTCTAAACTAATGACCACTCTGCAGTATGCCAAAGCTGATGATTAATAGCTTTATCCTTTGTAACCAATAATCTTTTAATTGCTGTTTTCTAATTTGCATCTTTCTCATTTCCTTCCTTGAAAGCCTCTGTCATTCTAAAAAGGGAATGCTGGTACATAAATCAAGGTAGCGACTGCGCTACCCTACTTGCACTCCCCTTGTTCAACAGGACAAAATATCTTTCATGACATTGTATGAAGAACTAAAACAAGGGAGGAAATATAGAAAGATGCAGCTATGTTTATGCATTTCCTCTGCATTTTTTTCAGCCAACCAAACAATTTTAAAGGTCTTTGGCTCTCCGCATTTCCGTGAAGAGCGGCAGAGCAAACATTAACAATTTCAAAAAGGTTTGAAACACAGAGAGCTGAGTCAGACAACAACCAGAGCAAAAATTCTTCAGCAGTGTTCTCTTCTGAATGAGCCGTAACACAGAAAACACAGAGTAAACCTGAGGAGCAAGCTTGCTCTACGTAATATGGCCACAGCCATATCACAACTAGGAACTCCAAGTTTTTTTATGCAAAGTGGATATGTCTAATAAATTGTAGGCTTTAATAACATCAACTAAATCACCTTAGTTGAAATGGTGTCCCAAATTTACCTTCGTTCCCATTTAGCAGTGAACAGAAGGTCTGTGGCTGCACTTCCAACTGCTCAGAGCCAGGCATTACAGGTGCAAGGCAGCAGAATCTCATGCTCTAGATTCAGAGGTCCTGGTCATAATGCCCTTACCTACACGCTTCTAGGCTGTTCAGATCCAAGACCTTCCCTATGTAACTGAAAATTCACTTGTCTTGGCTATGCATTTACATGTTCTTTAGAAATTTTTCTTTTGAGGAAACTAAAGTTTCCTTGCATGAACACAGAATAAACACTTGTTGCTGAAATTCTTTCTTGCTTCTTCATACAACATTTGTATGATTTTGTTTCTCTTCACTTGGCCATACAAAATCTTTCTTTAGACTCAATTAAAGTACACTAGCTTGAGTTTTTTTAGAAATTGTTGAGCCAAAAGCACAGGAACACTTAAACAGAAACTGCAAACTCAGAAAGTTTAGTCTACTGGATCTCCCACAAGTTGTTTACCTAGCAAGAATATATGAGCATATAAGTACTGATGTTTTTGAAATAACATTGAGAACTTAGCCATATAGCTTCAATTAAAACAAACTCAGCTTCACATACAGCCCACATCTGGCCTGGGATCTGAATGCTCAGACCAAATGGCCAACGAAGTTGCAAAAAAATATTTTATGCTCCAAGTACCTGGCCTTTACAGAGATGTTTTTAAAACTTTCAGAGTGGTTAGATATTCTAAAATCTATTGCCAAAACACAGAAGCCCTTAGATGACCATTAACTCTACAGAAGCAAGGCAGGTTGAGTGTGGAAAGGATGAAGTTCACTTGAAAAAATGTCATTTTGCCTGAAACTTCCAAGCTACTATTTAGCAAGCCTGCCAAAACAATCAAAACACATGCTTTTGCATTTCAGCCTGACATGGCAGAAGACGAGGCTTGGGAAGGAACCTCTAAAGTCAGCAAGTCCATCTCTCACACCCCAAGGCTTGGTCAATCACACCTACAACATTCCTGATGCAGGATCAAATAATTTGCTCTTAAAAGTTTTTAGCAATAGAATCTCCTTAAGTCCACAGCAGACCAGGCTAGAAAGTACTAAGCGTAAAAGAGTAAAATAGTAAAGGGAATTTGACAGCTTTAAAATGGCAAGGCTACTTAGAGCTGTGGAAAACACTGCCTGGGGAGGTCATGAAGCCTCTTCTATTTTACCATAAGTTCTTAGCCTTTTGCCACTAGCAATCTGGTGGCACTTAGCACTGTCCATCTGACTACATAAAGTTATTAACAAAGAAAACAGTGGGTTGGGTTTTTTTTTGTTGTTGTTTGGATTTTTTGTTTGTTCCTATTTTTCTTAGTAGTGCAACCCATCTTTCTTTCCCAGAAAATAACGGAAGATAAGGACCTATTGACTTTAGGGTAGCTCAAACCCAGGGCCTGTTGTGCCTAAAACCACAGTGGGGACCACTACCGCACAGACAGCACCTAAAAAGTATTTCAGAACCACCACATGAAATGAAATCCCCGTAAAATTACTGTAAACTTGAATGTTTTACTCCACAAACAAATATATGCAATGTGTGATGTACTGATTTATTAAATTCACTATGTTAGGCCAACTGGCATAGTTTATTTGGGCAAACTTACATTTTAATCAATAGGCCCCTGTGTGATTACTGAATACTGGATTTGTCACTTTATTCAGAATGGCAGCTCTATGGAGGTTGATTTTAATAATCCATAAGGGGATGAGTGGGTTAAGCATACATGTATCTTGCTAATTTATTATCACATAACCACTTAAAGTTTATTTACATTACTGCGTTGCACTGAATTACCACACGCAAGTTAAATGGGCCAAACATTTACCCGTCTGCCACAGGTGAAAACCAATAGTTAGAGGCTGCTGCAACCATGGGGGGAAATCCTTACAGACTGCATTATCTCAAGCCAAGTCCAATACCAGCAAATACACTAGCAATGCAAGCACACCCAAGGAAAGCTCCAAAGATTCGCCATTCTGTCTTCATCTCAAGCAGTTATGTCAATCAAAACAAAGTCTTGGAATGACTGGCTCACACAGAGATACGTAAAGTTTTGGTAAATAAATCCTATTCCTTATATTAGCTCAACCCACAGTTTCTTTAGAGGAGTAAACGCAAGATACTTAGAAACAGAGAAGTCATCCAGGTAAGAGTCCATGTATCACAGACCTAGGGAAGGCAAAAGCAAGATATGCTACCTCACGTGCATCAGGTGACGACAACTCAGGCTAACTTTTTAGCATGCCAGATTTCTACACTTAGCTTTTGGACACAGTTCTTAAAAAGCAACATTGAGCAAAGAGTTGAACGTAGTACAACTCCCAGGCAGCAGGAAGCAAGGCTGAAACAATGTCTCCATTGTTACACTTACTGGATACTGGGAGTTTCAGAACTAGTGCACATCTGCTCTGCAAGACTATTTGTACTGTTGCACAGAACTGCCTTCCGAAGTCACAAAAAACAAACCACGCCTGTATCCCTTCTCCTTCCAAATGCAAACAGGAGTCAGATTTGCAGAACTACTATAGCTTCACCAGTGGTACTGGAGGATTAAAGAAAAGTTCTCCATTGCAACTATGGTCCCTCTCTGTCAACTGTATGATTTCCTTAGGAGCAAGGGACTCTGACTTGCCACACATCCTTGCAGTGCTGGCACAAGAGGTCTTCAGTCATTGCTGCGTTGAATATCAGGCCAAATTGACCAAGAGTATAATTTGTGCACAGGGACAGTAATTAGCATGTGTGCACGAGTGACAGGAACCAGGCAGAGATAGAAGTATTTTCAAGAGCACTACAAGTATCTAACTGGCTATAACAACACACCTTGCCAGCTCTCTTATTACTTCCTAGCCTAGTCACCTCAAATCAAGAGCACATGATTTCACCTGGCTTCATTCACCTGCCAGCACAAGCGTAATTATTTCAAAATCACCACTTAAAATATCCTGGTTTTGTTTACTAGAACATAGCAAATGAGAACTCCTGTTTTGACTCATGCAGATTTACATTTGCTTGTTGACTAGACACATTAAATACACATCACTTCCCAAATGAAAGTTAACTTATCAGACAAGATAAATGAGGAAATAATAATAAAAATGCTTGGAAAATTAACTACTTCTCAGAAATGCAGTGGAACAAGTTAGGCAGACTGATTATTTGACTTGGCACCTATGAACAGCTGTATTTTTTTTTTTTTTTTGCTCTATGTCTGGACTGTTATTTCTTGCCACAAAATATTCAAATTTAAACATATGTTCAGCTACAGATCTTGAAAAAAATACTTTAGAAAAATGTAAACTGAAACAAAAGACTGTTTCTTTTACTGAACTAAAAATTCAACATAAATCACCACCGTATCCATTTAAGCATATAAGTCAAATTAATATTTACCCATGAGCAGGATCCAAAGCTATCGCCCTGGGCTGATCAAGGTCTTGCCAGAAGAGGACTTTTCTAGATGTTCCATTGAGATTAGCTACTTCTATCCTGTTGGTCTCTGAATCTGTCCAGTAGAGTTTTTTCCCAATCCAATCACACGCCAGGCCGTCCGGGGAAACCAGACCAGAAATGATGACATTCTGTACCACATTGCCAGTTTGGTTAATATAAGTTTGCTTGATGGCTTCTTCACTCACATCTGTCCAGAAAACGATGCCTTGTGAATACTGGAAGTCAACCGCAGCAGCATCTTCTAAACCACTGACCACCACAGTGGACTCCAGCTTTGTGCCTCCAGCATCCACGAGTCGAACATCCCGACGGTTGGCAAAAAGCAGAAAGGGAGATGCTACAGAAGGAAAAAGGAAACCATATTAAAATTATTGGCATCTACATATGCTAAAGTAATGATTATAAATATAACAGAGGAGGCTTTCTTCCCCTGATCAGCTGGACAGGCAGTTAAGAAGAAACATTAAAGTTTCACACAAGAGCAAAATGCACACTACCAAGGCATGAAGGAGATGACAGAAGAAGGGGAAAGCCCAAATCTGAAGCTATGATAGAACCTCACAAATAGTTAAGTGTTCAGAAAGCTGCCTTAAAAAAAAAAAAAAAAAATTAGGCCTAACTCATTTAAGACTCCTTTCTGCATATCTACAAGGGGGCTAATACAAAAAAGCCCTTACATAGAGACTAATGTAGGCAAGGTATTTCTTACATACTCAGCTTCCAGTTGAATTGCAAATGCCCCCAAACTGCATGTACAGATATCTTCCATTCAACCAGAAACCTGGTTTACAACAAAGTCTTCCTTGTGTAAAAAGTATCACGAAGTTGAACAAAAGCAACAATGATACATCAAAGGCAAGTTCTGATGTCTTTCAGTAGCAGGTTGCAAGCCAGTCATACTAGTTACAACACCCTCGAACATGTCTCTAAAGCACCCTCACACAGGGGAAACACTGCGATAGGAGACAAGCTACCATCTTATTCCTCCTGGCATCAGTGAGAGTGAGAGAGACATTCAAGGAAGAGTTGAAGGACTACAATTATATAGTTTGTGGAGGCTTATGGGGAACTGCTGTGAGAGGCACCAAGAGCAAAAAGTTTGTTGTCTGAAGATCTAAGTGGGTGGTGGAAGCCAGCATCAGGGGAGTGGGAGTCTCACTACTGAATAAAAGTGAATAGGAGAGGACAAGCTTTGAAAGAGGCACTAACGCGGGACTGGTGCAGAAAGGAAAGGAAGCTTAAATATGCAACAGAACTATAGCTGTAGAGATGCTCCACCAGCCTGCAAGACTGCTTTTTGTCTTGAGTGTCAGGTCCAGTTGAACAAGCTCATCAACTGGGGGGATAATGTCAGCACTCTTGAAGAGAAAGGAAGGAGGTGAAGAGTGATATTCATTATGAAAGGCAGAGAAATTCACCTATTTGAGCTTAACCTGGCAGTAAGACATACAGAAGTAGCAGAAATACTGGTAGAGATTTTAACATAGAAAAGTTGTTTGCCATCACCTTCAAAAGAAAGTGTGTGCCTGGCTCTTGAGGCTGTCTATCCACTCTCAGAGGAAGAGGAAGATGTGAAGGTCAGAGTCCTGCAGTCCCTCCTGGCCCTCCCCACATAGGCTGTAGGAAGCCTCTGAAGGACACATTGCTCTGATAGGGGTGGGCAGGGAGAAGAGTTATACAGACAGGCATAATTAAGGCCAGCTGCTTCTTCCAAAAGAGGACATTAAGTAGATATACTAGAGAACATTCCTTCCTGACATACCAACTAGACTGATGGCCAAATTAACCACTTGACATCTCTCCCGTAAATGGAGACTTGATTCCCCAACTGGCGCAAAACAAGAAAAATGCTTATCCGCAGATATGGTTCAGAAAGAACAGCCCAATACGATGATGCCGCCCTACTTGCCAGGCCTATGAACACCATTGACAGTTTATGACAATGATAGTACTTCAGAAATGGCACCAGTTGCTAGAAGTAATGGAGCTTGCTCAGCTTTTCCTAAGATTGCTGAAGTATGGCAGGGATCTTATGCCATCTAATGAATGATGACATCTTCTGTCATCTAATCTCTTTTAATTTGCCCCAACTATTTGTCACATTGAACCCCACTACTCCTGCCTCCATTCTTCCAACTCATGCAACAGCTGCTGGAGGTCTATGCCAGTCAAATGCTGGCTCCTAGCTTCATGTACAGTCAGTCTGGTTGATGTTGCTGCTTCTCATATGCACTCAGCAGAGGCCCAGAAACTTGCCACTCAACACAAGGAACAACACACAGAACACAGCAGCAATGGTAGATATGTCATTTCATCTTCTAAGACTTCAAGCCTGTGATATAAATACCTTCAGCTTCAAACTCATATTACTGTATATAATATATGAAAGTTAGCTCTTGATATTGTCTTTCAGATTCAATTCCTTGTGCACTTTAAAAAGCAGATAGTATATACTAGCTCTGCATGCCAGGTCTGCTATGCTGGCAGCTTTGTCACAGGCTAAGGCCTTTCGCGGGAACCCTAGTCCAACCACATGCTCCCTGGAAAGCCCGTGCCATTGCGTAGGCCAAAGTGAAGTACGCTTATGGTCAAAAAAATAAATAAATAAAAAAACCCCAAACATATTCATGTGCAGGTCAAGGAGCTCAGTCAATCTATAATTCAACTTCAGATGAACTCAAAACATGCATAAAATCTCTGCTCCTTTTATTATCATTCTGCTTGGCCTTCACCACTCTGCCCCAAGTTAGGAAAGCGATGGCTTTGTTTTTCTTTTTGGAGGAAGCCTATACCAATGAAAGTAATAAGAAAAATTTAAATCAGCTGGTGAGGCTCTTCGACAGCAAAGACACAGACAATTGTTGCTGGGAGTGTTTCACTGAAAATGTAATATCTTTGTTTTCTACAGTATTTAACTCGAGAAAGTTTATACAGCTTGAGAAGAATTATTTGTTAGGAAATGAAGTCCCAGTAGCACTCCCATCTCATTTCCAAACTTGCCAAGTCTCCTTCTCCATCTTAAAAAACAATAGTAATAATATTACAAAAGCTCCACAGGTTAGTTGTTGAAAACAGAAATAAAAATATCTAGAATATAAAGTGCTTATTCTATTCTCTGCAACTTAGTGGGTCCTTATAGCCATATACATTGTAACTGTCACTGCACCAAAGCATTCAAAAACTTGCAAAGATTAGTGTTAGAAGGCTCTGTTAAAATCAGGTTCTTTGGGGCTGAAAACCTTCCAGTTGTGTATGCTTCTTCACTAAATCAATCTCTTAGCCAGGCTAAGACCAAAGCCATAAAAAAAAATCCACACACAAATTAGAAAAAATATTGTCCCAAAGATGTGTTTTGAAGAATATGAATAGAAAGATTTTTATCTAGTCATTTCCACACTGAAGCCATTATTTACTACTCCTACAAAGAAAAAGGGGACCTGAATTATCAAATCTGCTCGGTGGAGGAATTCAATAGCGTCTTAACTGAAGATCAGACGATGTCTAACTCTATCAGTATCGAAATTACCCCTGTTCCCCATTCCTTTCAAGCGATTTCTTCCTCACTGATGCACACAGTAGAGCAACAGCAAACAGATAGCACATCAACCACTGTGTTCCCTGTCACTTCTCTGCTCCAGAGCCGTCCTGATTGCAGCCCAGCTGCATTGTGTTGCCGCTGGACGCCCAGCAGGGAAAGGACACTGACATGCTTGCAATTGTGGTAAAATTATACTGTGTTTATACACTGATGCAAACTGATTGATTACCGAAAATGGCCAGAGATCACTCCTTTTTAAAACAAAAGGCTATTCAAATTCCAGTGGGGGCAGAGTGAGAACAGGCAGAACTTAGCTTTTGAAAATTATATTCATTTCTCCACTCCTCCCCACCAGTCTATTTTATTTAGTCCACATTTTACAAAAATGAGGGCAGAGTCTTTTTAGAGCATTGCTGGTATGAAGCAAATTAGTGATCAAAACAAGTAACTGGTTCTCAAGATTCATTCTTGCCTGGAATGCTGCTGGAGGAACGCAAGCTCTCCTGACCTTCCAAATAATGAAAAAGCCAGGAGAGTGATTAACTGCTCTGTTTCCACGGTCTTGCATTTAACAAGTCTGGTCAGAGCTTGAAGGCAGCAGCAAAGTGACAGTTCATTAGCAGGCAGAGTTGGTTTTGTTAATGCTGCAGTTTCAGGTTCAATTATACATGACCTTCACAAAGTCCCCCAAAAAGCTTACCGAACTTGACAAATTTTCTGGGGGGAAACCTAGAAAACATTTCCCTTTCTCGAAAAGAAAGAATCAGACAGCAGAATCCATACACAGTGTCAGCCTTTCAGAGTGCTAAGAGATGGAGCCCTCCTGATAGACAGATATCTGACCTCTCAGACTCTGACCAGATTGAAGAAAAACCAGTTTAGACTTTCTAAACAAACCATTAAATTGTTCACTAGACAACCCACAGGTGGGGAAGGAGAAGACCACCACTCATTAGGCTATCAGCATGACTTGTGACTAATATTTCTAGAGCCCTTTACAACCTCGGCATATTTTTAAGACATTCAGAGAGAAATACTTGCCTTATATATCTCAACTTAGGTTCCCAACATGCTGGTACTACTACACAGTGTTTAGCTTCACGGAATTACTAAACTCAATAGTTTAGCAGTTCAGAAGATACATTCAACAGACTTTTCAGGGCATGTGAATAAGAAAAACAGAACGCTACAAAAGCAACAAACAATGCTGACCATAAATTTGATTTGCTGTGCCATCACCAAACCATCCCAGCGATTCAAGATCATCCCACTGATACATGGTGCAAGTTTGTTTGTTTTTAATCCCACATGCATGTGGAAGGGGAGGTTCATTTCCAAGAACGTGTAGACCAATCTCCTTTCAAATCACCCTGTCTTGCTAGCATGCATCAGCCCTTAACTGGGCTCGAGGGTGCAGAGAACACTTTATCCTTGGTGCAGTTAAGTCTTTACTTTGCAACTCTTGACCAAGCAAATTGGAGAGTCAGTTAATTCCAGTTTCTATTCTCATCACTGTCTCCTCCCTCCTCACCCAACAAACTGTCATGTTCATTAAGCCAAATGAGTGAGACCAATGCATTTCTGCTGATTTTATAGTGTGAATGAAAGCAACAACTTGTACACACTGTAACAACAGGCTGTATCCCAAACCCACTTGCCTCAGGTCAGCCCACTCTGCATCCCACTCTCAGCTCTTCAAAACTGAGAGCTCTTCTTCCCTCTCCCTGCCCCAGCTAGCAACAACTTTGATTACTGCTGACCTCCAAGTGAGCTTTTCTGTTACAGAACAAGTGCAATATCCCTTGCTGCAGAAGTTATTTCATGGTTAGCAAGCTACAAGATTCAAATGAAGACCGCTTCCAAGCTCTATTTTGATCAGCGATGCTCCTGACAACTGCAAATTGCTTGAAAAAGAAAACCGACTTCTATTTTGAAAATGGAAAAGAATAAACAGTAACAGGGTGAATGATGGATGTGGAGGACAAACTGTTTATATGCAGCCTATTGCCACCAAAACAACATTTTCATGTAGTTAGAAAAAAAAAAAGTATTCTTTTTCAGTAAAATTAGAACAGTTCATATTTTTCCATAATAGGCAATATTTAAAATATAGTGGGAGTTCACAGTTCTCAGACAAAAAAAAAAAAAGTGAACCTGACAGTCCACAACTACTGTATTGAATGAACTCTAACCAGATAACAGCCTGAACTGTTGAAGCCTTCCTGCAACAGTTGCACAGTCTAACCTGGATAATGCAGTACTTGACCAACAGCACCTCATTCTAGCAAGCAGATCATTTATAAGGGGGCAGGAGGGGAGGCTTACACTAATTTTCCGGTGGTTTTCTGCTAACTGGAAAACACATTCTTAACTTGATGATGGAGCTAGCTATACAGAGCTTGATTTCACAGTAAGCCAAGGTGAAAGTACAGTATGAAAATCCAGCTAATCAACTCTTTTTGGCTGAAGAAGAAAATCCTGATCAAACTGGTCAGGACTCGAGGAGCATGGGTTCAAATTTTCAGCTCTACTCTGGCTTTCCCGAACACTCTTGGGCAAATCTCTGTGCCTCGCCTATGTTAGGAGGAGTTTAACTACTCTAACTTCATTGTTTCACTTGCATCAGCAAAGCCTTCTTGTGCAGACGTAGCACAACCCTAGAGCATTTTTACACCTTACACATAATTCATTAGACCAGTCACTGTAAGTGGCATCACTGTTAACATATCTACATCAGCTCCCTTACCCCTATCTCTATCACATTTCTAAGTGATGCAGATAAGCATATATGTTAAATGCACAGCAGCATAGACGCCTCTG